CTGGAGTTGTATCCATGCCAGTGGATGTCCACACAATCCAGAAGAGAATTTGACATTGCTGCTGCTGCTGTTGCTGTTATAACAATGGCGGCACACCGTTGCTACTGTTTCTAGGATTACCGTTTCATAATTGCTTACTACAGCTAGCACAGTGGAGATCCTGGCAACAAAAGTAGCTCCTACAGTTAGTTAATCTTTGATTCTATTGGGCATGATAAATTTAATTCAGTAGTTATATACATCTTGATTGGCTTTGAAAATTATAAATTTATAAACTCAAGTTCCAGTTGCTTTTGGGATACTATCTTACAAGGACTCCAATGTACAGTATGGCTCGAAAAGGAAGGGAATGGCTCAGTTGCCTTTAGCCTACTGGCTATGGGTGAGATAGGACCTCTGTTGGTCTTTTCTGTATCAAACACACAGATTGCAAGCCCAGTGCCACTTTGAGATCTTTGGCAGCAATTAACCATGCAGCTCACACACGACTGACCCGGTATGATGAGTATTCAGAGACGGGTAATACCTGGGGGGCACTCACCAACCTAAGACAGAGTACCTGTGTGGCCTGGGCGGGCGTCTCCATGACGGGTAAGGTGACCTGCTGACGTCCCACGTAACCCAAGTCAGAAGCTCATTTTTTAATAAAAATGGGACCTGCAGGGCCCTGGCCCCTGTTTTGGGTAACTGTTGCCTTGCTTGCAGACCTTGACCTTGATATCCTCCCAATGCTAAGTCCCTGCCAGGTTCCACCCTCCTGAATGCTTAAGGGAAGTTCCTTGTCTGTGTATCCTGAATAACCGGCATTAACAGCTTAGATGCAAGATTGTAAAACATAAGTAGCAAACTTCTGCCCTCCGGGGTCCTCCCATTGTGCTGTAAGCCTGTAATGAGGACCTCCTACCCCCTTCAAAAAATGACACTCGACATTTAAAATTAAATATTGAATGAATACTACGCATGTAATTATGAATACCACAAATGTGATTAATATCATTGAGTGTAATTAAAAAATAAATAAATAATAAATAAATAAATAAAAAAGTGTTCTCTTTCTCCCCACATTATTTTTTTTTAAGATTTACTTATTATGCATACAGTACTCTGTCTGCATTGCATGTGTGTCTGCACACCAGAAGAGGATACCAGATCTCATTACAGATGGTTGGGAGCCACCATGTGGTTGCTGGGAATTGAACTCAGGACCTGTGGGAGAGCAGCTGGTGCCCTTAACCGCTGAGCCATTTCTCTAGCCCCATCTTTATAATCTCTTTAATTTCAGCACTCAGAAGGCAGAGGCAGGCAGATCTCTGTGAATTAGAGGCCAGCCTTGTCTACACAGCAAGTTCCAGAGCTGCAAAGTGAAATTCTGTTTCAAAAAACCAAACAAAAAGTCAAGGAGCACATGACTTTGGAAAGAATTCTCATGTTCTCCTTACCTACTGCAGATAACAAAGATTTCTCCACATACACACAAAAGGTCAATAATTTAATACAGGACCAAAGCTGTAAGAATATGGAGACAATTTCATCATATAAAGGCAAAAAGATTCATGAAACTCAACCAATTTTTGTTTTTGGGACAGAGTCTCTCTACATAGTTCAGATTAGCCTTGAAGTTGTGATCTTCCTGCCACAGCCTCCTGACTGCTGAGATTACAGACATGCAGTACCATGCCTGACTACATAACTGACTTCATTATTTCAGTCAATAAGTTTTTGTAAGTATCAATGTTCTGCTGTTTCTTTTCAAGTCTAAGTATATACTGAGACTCTGTAGTTAACATGGCTAAAGAACTTATCCAAAGCCCCACTGCTAGGCTATCAGGCTAGGAAGGGACCCAGGTCTGTTTGATACAGTACAGATCATCTGCACTGTATTGCACTCACTACAAGATGACAGTAACACAAATACCTACCTCTAATTTCTTTGGTAAACTTGACACGCTGGGAGTCCGTTAGAGGTTTCGTTTGTTCATTGATGTTCTGAATATCTAAAACCTCACACATGAACTCAATGATAGGCTGGGCCCGGTAGAAAGCAGTTGCAGATACTAACAAACAGAGAAAAGATACTTAGCATCAAGGAAAAGAAAGGGTCCAAACCTATCAAACGGAAACCAGAGTTAACAGACAGAGTTCCAACCCACCATCAATATTGAGCATCATATTCCACATGGCAGGTCTCACAGACTGGTGAAAGCCGAACCAGACCTCTCTGCCACCTCCCAGAGGGTGGTAATAACCTTCAGGAGGTGAGAAAAAAGAACGGCCCACAGGAGTGTACCTGAAGAGACAGGGGTTTGGATACTTCATGCAAAACATTTTGAGGTCAGTTTGTGAACTGAAATCAAGTTTGAACTGTGACTATGTTAGAACCTTTGCATGGCTAAATTCAATCTGTGAAAAATCCTGACATTTGTGGGAAGGGATTCAAAGTAAGGTGCTAACCTCATAGAGGGGAGATGCCTTGTAATAACATCAAGTGCTTGTACTGAGTCGTCCGGGACTTCATTCAGGTGCCCAGCTAAAGCCTCCAAAAGCAACGGAAGGCTCACAACTGACACCCACTGCACAGACACTTTGAAAGTTTGGTCTTTACCCTCGCCTGGAAGGGTCACCTCCATGTCAACCTAGAGAAAAATACATACATACAATCAGGTTTATAAAGTTGTGGGAAAGACCCTAAGAATATTCAATATAGTATATGCATAATGGATGTTTATCTTAACACTTTTTGTAATTGTAGACCATTGGAAACAATGTAATTGTCTATAAGTAAAGGAATAATTTAATAGAAAATATTATACAATAATTAAAAATAAGGGGTCAGAGGGATACAATTGTAGGTAAGTGCTGTTAGCGCCAAGCCTGATGACCTGAGTTTGACTCTGGGGCCCCATATGGCGGAAGTAGAGAACAACTCCCACAAGTTGTCTAACCTCAACATGCACACCAAAGCAGGCACGCACTCACCACACACACATGCTCACCACACACACATGCTCACCACAGCAGACATGGACTCACCATACATACATGCACACATATGCACAAATAGATAAATAAACTTGATATGGAAGGACAAACATTGATGATTCTGCTTAAATGAGGTACTCAGAATAGTCAAATTCATAGAAATAAAAGGTAGAATAAATAGTGGTTACCAGAGCAAGTGGCAGTGAGGTACATGGAACTATTGCTTAGTGGATAGAGAGTTTCTATTGTAGATAACAGAAAGATTCTAGAATAGACAGTAGTGCAGATGCACAACAATGTGAATGCTCTTAAAAATGGAGTCGTGCCCGGTGGTGGTGGCGGCGGCGGCGGCAGCGGCGCACGCCTTTAGTCCCAGCACTCAGGAGGCAGAGGCAGGCGGATCTCTGTGAGTTCGAGGCCAGCCTGGACTATAGAGGGAGTTCCAGGAAAGGTGCAAAACTACACAGAGAAACCCTTGTCTCGAAAAACCAAAAAAATAAATAAATAAATAAAAACAACCTTCGTGGGCATCACATGTCCATGTGCACAAGTCATGTGTTGTGTGATATTTTAATTGTGTTCTGACAAATAAAGCTTGCTTGGAGTCAGAGGGAGGAACTAGCCACTAGCCAACCAAAATTAACCATAGAGGTTTAGAGGACTGCAGACAGATAGGAGACAGGAAGTAGTAAGGTGTAAGTAGTAAGATCCTCTCTCGGCCCTTTTGGAGGAAGGGAAGAGGTAGAAGGTGACTGGTGGCTGCTCCCTGCTTCTCTGATCTTTCAGGTTCTTACTCTGATATCTGACTCTCAATTTTTTATTGATGAAAAAATAATTAGATAAATATTTTAGTCATGCACATAAATGTCATAAAAACATATATATTTGGGTTTTTAGAGACAGAGTTTCTCTGTGTGACAGCCCTGGCTGTCCTAGAACTCATTTTATAAACCAGGTTGGCCTCAAACTCACAGAGATCTGCCTGCCTGAGTGCTGAGATTAAAGGTGTGCGCTGCTACCACCACCTGGCAAAACATAATTTTTAAAAATACTTCTTTTTAGTCAGGTGGTGGTGGTGCACGCCTTTAATCCCAACACTCGGGAGGCAGAGGCAGGTGGATCTCTGTGAGTTCGAGGCCAGCCTGGTCTACAAAGCGAGTTCCAGGACAGCAGGACTGTTACATAGAGAAACCCTATCTCGAAAAACAAAACAAAACAAACAAACAAAACAAAACAAAAAACCCTTCTTTTTTAACTCTTTGTTTTTGGTTTGTTTGTTTTTAACAAAGGGTCTCACTATGTAACTCTGGCTGGCCTGGAACTTGCTAGGTAGACCACATTGGCTTGGAACTGACAGAGATACACCTGCCTTTGTCTCCTGAGTGCTGGGATTAAAGATGTGTACCACCATACCTGGTACTGTTTTTTACTATTAAAGTAAATATTTAAGAAAGTACTGTGTGGGGCTGAAGAGATGGCTCAGCAGTTAAGAGCACTGGCTGCTCTCTCAGAAGACCCAGGTTCAATTCCCAGTACCCACACAGCAGTTCACAACTGTCTGTAACTCCAGTTCCAGGGGATCTGACACCCTCACACAGACATACATGCAGGCCAAACAGTAATGCACTTAAAAAAAAACAAACCGAAGAAAGTGCTGTGGCATTATTTTCATAACTGAAGCTAGACAGCACTTTGTTCAAGCACATGGTTAATGTGGAAATGTGGACTAGCTGTAAGGATGACAAAATCAGTGTGGCCCTGGTGTTCCTCTCACCGTTCATGATCAGCTAACGAAGAGTCTGCAGTAATTGTGGAAAGATCTATCATCACAATGAAAAACAACTCTAAGAACTGAAGAGAAGGAGGCTGTGAGTGTAGCAGGTGTGCAGCCCCGAGTTCAAGCCCCATAGCAAGAAGAGGAACAGCAGCTGCAGGAGGAGGAAGCTGGCAAAAGGCTGAGAAGAGGTGCTTGCCAACAAATCTGACAGCTGGAATTCAATCTCTTGAAAACCACACCGGGGAAGGAGAGAACCAACTCACATGCACTGTGGCGTGCACATGGCCCCACAATTAGTGACTAAAGGAATAAAGAACTAGAGTGACCAGAAATGAGAGCAGTCGGCCGCTTGTAGTTACTACCAAGTAACGCAGAGTTTCTCCTGCCCACTTACCCTGTCCCGTCCAATTGGCAGTGGATGTGCTGTGTACATGTTTCTTTTGCCATCATAGCCAGGCTGCCGATCCCCAAATATCTGCATCTTGAAGTGTCGCACCATAGTGTCTACTACCTCCCTTAACAGTAATGGAGACAGTAGCAGTTAGCTTTGAGACATGATCAACAGAAAGCAAAGTGTCACCATGCCTTCAAATATACTCTGTGTGGGACCATGAGGAAAAGTTGAAGTCACAAAGCTGACTCAAGTATGAAAAAAAAACCTTAAGTAATAAGTGAGCACATAAAATATACCTGTAATCCCAACACTGGGGAGGTGGAGGCAGGAGATTCAGGAGTTCAAAGTCATCCTTGGCTAAACACTGTGTTTGAGACCAGCTTGGACTACATGAGACCCAGTCCCGGAAAAAAAATAGACCAATGAGATGGCTCAGCAGATAAAGGTGCTTGCTACCAATCCCAGAACCCACATGGTAGAAGAAAACCATACACATACAAAATAAATTAAGTAACTGTAGCTTTATAAGAATAATCTGCCTATTTCAGACATCTAAGCTTTGCATGGTTGTTTAACCATTACATGATGGCATAAAATCAGAGACGGGCAGCAGTGGCGCACACCTTTAATCCCAGCATTCGGGAGGCAGAGCAAGGTGGATCTCTGTGAGTTCGAGGCCAGCCTGGTCTACAGAGTGAGATCCAGGATAGGCACCAAAACTATACAGAGAAATCTTGTCTAGGAAAAAAAAATCTGGTTTAAGAGCTATATATTCTTTCCATATTAGAAAGGGATAACTTCTCAGCTGGTCTTTTTTCTTTTGGAGACAGGGTCTTATGTAGCCTTGAACTCCTAATATTAAGTGTGGGGATGACAGGCCGGGTTTACATGGTGCTAGGGACCAAATCCAGGGCTTTATGGATAGTAGCAGGCATTCTACTACTGAGCTACAGTTTTGGCCCCCATCCCTGCTTTATTTTTATTGTACTTATCACCATCTAATAAATGATATGTTTTATTTGCTGATTTTATCAAGTTTTGACCATTAGAATATAAACTTCTCAAATACACAAACATTGCCTCCCCAACAGTTTAGAGGGTCTTTTCCCTCTCCTTCTACACCTATTTGATTATGAACTCACAGGGGTAGACTCCAGCAGCTTGCTCCTGTGCATCTGTTCTCACAGTGTGCAACTCTGTGTGGAGGTAGTGGCCTGTCAGTTGAACACATGTACTTTCTCTTTGACTTCCTTCTTTTTTGTAATCATACTCTTTCATGATTTTCAGGAAGCTAGCTCAGCTTTTAAGAGAACTTAATATGTTCAGTATGCTCATTCTCTTGGCAAGAATCTTGCCCTTCATTTGTTTGCATACAGCAACATCAAGAGCATTCTGGCAAACAGCAGAGACTTCTCTGACTTGTAGGATGGTAATACTTGTAGGTGTTTGTTTCTGAACAGCACCCACCCCTCTGATGCCTACAATTTCACCTTTCCTGTGTATTCATTTATATGTGGCCAAAGAACTTTGGAAAGGCCTAGACAAAGCATGCCTTTCCTCTTCCCCTTCTTGTTCACCATTCTGCTGAGTTCCTGAAAGGCTGTAATCTGAGCTGAAAGGCAAGTTTGTGCTGAGCCAGGTATGGTGGCCTGCACCTACAACCCCAGTCCCCAGGGCTGTTTAGGGTCTTAAGTTTACTTCTTACATGGATCTCATTCAGTATCACAGCTTTACCAACAACACCAACAATGCTCATGACTCTCAAATGCCTACCTCCAGCACACCTCTCCCCTGAACCTCTTCCCTGAATCCAATTTCACATACTCTGTACATCTAATAAATATCCTGACCTTAGCATGTCTAGCAGATCCTAGGGCTGAAAGCAGTTAAAAATAGTTAAGTTTGGTTCCCAGCACCCATGTTGGGCAGCTCACAACTGCCTATACCTCCAGCTTCAAGGAAAATCTGACACCCTTTCCTGGTTCTCATGGATAAACACACACAAACACATACACACACTTGAAAACACATGTCTTCACTTAGAAGGCTAAGGCTGGAAGATCTGAATTCAAGTACACTGTTTTTGTTTGTTTGGTTGGTTGGTTCGGTTTGGTTTGATTTCGATTTTTGGTTTTTCGAGACAGGGTTTCTCTGTGTAGTTTTGGTGCCTTCCTGGATCTCACTCTGTAGACCAGGCTGGCCTCGAACTCACAGAGATCCACCTTGCTCTGCCTCCCGAATGCTGGGATTAAAGGCGTGCGCTACCTCCGCCTGGCTCAAGTACACGGTAAACCAATGCTAGTCTGGGCGACATATCAAGACCCTGTGTCTCAGAAGAACAAACAAATACTGAGTATGGGATACGTGCCTGCAATTCCAGTACTTGGGAGGTACAGACAAAAGGATCAGGAATTCAAAGGCAGGCTGGGCTATAAAGAAACCCTATCTCAAAATAAATAACTAAAATAAAATAAACAAGTCTATACAGAATGCAGTGCTTGTTGAACAGATTAAAAGTAGCTATTATTAGCATGTTTATTATGAGTGATCTCAGTTATATTTCAGCTGAATAATCATGAGCTTACACAACACTGAACTGTACCAGAAAGCCAAATTATTGCAGTTTAAAATAAAAAAAGATAAACCAAAACCAAAACACCCCCTAAGTATCACCAAATAGCTCACTTGGCAGCAGAGCAAGAATCTTAGTCTAAGAGGCACTGGGGGATGAGCATGTGCAAGCAGAGACATGAGTGAAGTGAGTATATATGTGCTTTTGCTACAGGGTGTCTTCATATCGGTAACTGACCACAACACATTAGCACCTTATCAGAACCCCACTCGGATAATGCCAGAAATAAGCAGGGGCTTTCTTTTTGATACTCTAAGAGAATTCTTACATCAGTACACTTTCATTACAAAGTGATAAAATCTGAATCTCCAGATAGTTCTACTTCCCATATACTAACATCTTCATCTATTGTTACAAACTTCTGGTACTTTGATTGTTGATGACCAGTGACATAGTCACTTTTTCACAGAATATGTATTTATTGATAGATAATGATATATCCGGCAGAGTTGGTTGCCAAAACAACCAAGAGGATCCCATCATATACTTATTAAGAGGGTACAATAATGCCTACCTGCTGAGAGACACTATGATACATAGTAAATTATGTGAGTTAGATACACATATCTACAGATATACAGACATCTACTCTTTCTAATCCTTACCTGTTGACTCTACGAGGCCGTTTTTCTGGTTTAATATCCACATCATAGTGATACACATCTATTTTAGGGATCTGAACCTGAAAATGATTGGCTAACAGTCGAATTGGCTTCCCAACAGTTCCAAGGCCAGGACGACGAGGTGGCTGGAAGAGGCTGGCTGGAGGTCCTAAAGAGATTGAAGACATACACTATGTTATTAGGTAATAAGGAGAATATTTTCTCCATCATAATGACAGTTACAATTATGAAGATCTGATTCATCAGTGAACATATTCTGATATAAAAATCTGGAATCTCTGGGGCTAGAGAGATGGCTCAGAGGTTAAGAGCATTGGTTGTTTGTCCAGAGGACTCGAGTTCAGTTTCCAGCATCTACATGACAGCTCACAACAGTGTATAACTCCAGTTCTAGAAGATCCAATGCCCTCTTCGGGCCTTCGTGGGCACCAGGCACACATGTGGTACAAACCTGCAGGGAAAACACTCACACACATAATTCTTTTTAAATTGAGGTACTGAGTATACTAAATTTCTCTAGATTTCTAAGTAGTTAGCCATGTTGCTATTATTTTTAATATAAGGATCAAAGTTAGACAGGCAGTTATGATTAATTCATCTCATACAGAGGCTTACAAAATTATATACATTTAAAAATAACATATAGCGGGGCTGGAGAGATGGCTCAGAGGTTAAGAGCCCTGGCTGCTCTTCCAAAGGTCCTGAGTTCAATTCCCAGCACCCACATGGTGGCTCACAACCATCTGTAATGAGATCTGGTACCCTCTTCTGGCCTGCAGGGATATATGCAGGCAGAATATTGTATACATAATAAATAAATAAATAAATAAATAAATAAATAAATAAATAAATAAATCTTTAAAAAAAGCTACACGGGAATGTCTCCTTAAAAAAAAATTAAAAAAAAAAATAACATATAGCAGGGCTGGAGAGATGGCTCAGAGGTTAAGAGCACTGACTGCTCTTCCAGAGATCCTGAGTTCAATTCCCAGCAACCACATGGTGGTTCACAACCATCTGTAATGAGATCTGGTGCCCTCTTCTGGCCTGCAGTCATACATGCTGTATATATAATAAATAAATAAATCTTTAAAAAAATAAAAAATAAAAATAACATATAGCCAGGCATGGTCACACACACCCATAATCCTTGTACTGAAGATGATAAGGTAAGAAAATTAAGAGCTCAAAGGCAGAACCCTCTCTCAAAAAACAATAGGTACCAGTGAGGTGGCTCAGTAAATAAAAACTCTGCTGCCAAGCTGGACAACCTTGTTTTGATATCCAGGACCCACATGGTCAAAGGAAGGAACTGACTCTGCTTGCATGATGTGCTACACACACAAACACACACACACACACACACACACACACACACACACACACTGAATGCATTAATAATTAGGGGCTGGAGAAACAACTTAGCCATTAAGAGCACTGACTGCTCTTCTAGAGAACTTGGATTTAATTCCTGGAATTCACATGGCAGCTCACAACCATATCTGTAACTCTAGTTAAAGGTGATCTGATTCCCTCTTCTGGCCTCTGTGGGCACTAGGCATGCACATGGTACACAGACATACATGGAGGCAAGACACTCAATATAGATAAAATTAATAAAATAATAATAATAACAATAATAATAACAAATAAACCCAGGAGCGTGATATAGTGCATGCCTTTAATTCTGGAACTTAGGTATATGCCCATGTGTGCATGCATGGAGGCCAGAGGTCAACATCAGTTATTCTCATCAATCAATCTCCACCTTACTTTTTAAAGATATATTTATTTTATTTTTTATGTGTATGAGTATTTTGCCTGCATGTATGTATGTATGTATACCACATGCTTGCCTGGTGTCCATGGATGTCAGAAAAGGACATCCTAACCCCCTGGAACTAGAGTTAGAGATGATTGTGTTGTGAACCACCATGTAAGTGCTGGAAACCAAGCGGGGTCCTCTATAACAGCAACAAGTTCTCTTAACCACAGAACCCTCTCCCCAGCTCCTTCAACCTTACTTTGAGACAAGGTCTCTCTGAACCTAAAGCTCAATGGTTCAGCTAGACTGGATAGGCAACAGGCGTTCCTAAGTCCTGCCTGTTGGAGCACTGCCCCTTCAACTTCTGCTTTTTCCATGGATGCTGGGACTCAGGGCCTCATGCTTGCACTGCCCACTGAGCCATCTCCCCAGCCCTACCAAATACATTCTCATATTTAGTTCTCCAGAAAGTTATGTAATGAATAAACAAAATAACTCGTTTACTCAACTCATTTGTACACACAGCAGCTCTCTGTCTCCCTTCCCCTCCCTCTCCCTCTCGACTCCTATTCCCCCTCAGAACAGAACCTCTATTAACCTCCATCAGCAAAGGACTGTGTAGACACAGGCTGCAGATACTTATCTGACCAACTCCCTCTAATGAGAATATCAAGTGGACACTGGCCTAAAAAATAAGCATCTTTTCTATTATGAATAGGCACTGAGCAAAGTAGGTTGTGGTTACAACGGAAAGTTACAAGTTCTCTTACTGAAGTGACATTTCACTGAAAACAGAGACAATTCACTAAAAAAAGGAAAACTTTGAAATACTTGTCTGCTCTGTTCCAACATCACTTAAGGACACCACAGCAAGTATCTTCATGAAATTTGTATTGACAAATCACCATACAATAATATAATAGTTAAAGTTCTGAAAATATCTTCCCATTACTCAATTAATTGTTCATTTTCCTCCTGATTTCAAACTTCAAATGTAGCTGAGATGCAACTTTATGAGAAAGATCCATCCCCTGTATACACAAGACCCTGTGTGCAGGGTAGGACTTAGCTCAAATATAAGAAATCACTTGTGGACCAGCAAGATGGCTCAGCAAGTGAAGGCACTTAGCTGCCAAACTTGAGTTTGACCTATGACCACATGGTGAAAAGAGTGAACTGATTCATGCATGTGTGCACACACACCATAATTTTAAAAAGGAGTAAGTTGTTGCTGGGCGGTGGTGATGCATGCCTTTAATCCCAGCACTCTCGAGAGGCAGAGCCAGATGA